AAGTTCTAGTCTCAGCCCGGCTCCTCACAGCAGACGCTGACCCTGCGGAGCTCTGCTAAGATTTTCTCAAGACCCGAAGGCCGGCTGACGCGGGGAACGCTGGCTGACACCCTGCTCAGGGCTCTGTGGGCATCTGGATCTGGGCCCCCCAGACACCAACGGCAACGCAGGAGCTCTCCCACCACCCCTGCCCTGCGCCCACACATGACATTCCTTCTGGAACACCTCGGAGCCACGCGGGCCCAGCTCCTAAGGGGCGGCCATAGCCCCATGGCCGAGTCCACTGCGGCTGTGTCGATTTCAGCCTAAAACGACTCTAAGCAGGTGTATTTAGTCATCTGCTCTGATTCAACGGATGTGAGTTTGAGCAGACTCCGGGAGATGGTGGAGGACAGGGAAGCCTGGCGTGCTGCAGTCTGTGGGGTTGGACACAACTTAATGACTAAATAACAACTCCTTTTCTTTTAAAATGTAAGAAAAGAGGCTCTAGCTGACATAAGGACAGCAGCTTTTCGACAAGTGGATGCAGGAAAGGAAGCCGTGTGGGTTACACTGAACATGGGCATTTGTCAACTGGGAGGGCTGTAACTGGGGACAAGCTGACCTCAGGCCCATTTTGCTGAGAAGCAGTCTTCTAGTTCAGGACAATAAAAGGACTCATGTGCACAGGGCTTTGCACGCGTTCCTGGGGTGGGGTATCAGATGGCCCTGGAGCGGGGTCGGGGGCCCAGCGTGGCCGACATCCTTGTCTGGGGTGAGACCCAGAGCACAGGCGTGCAGGTCCACGTGTCTGCCTGTGCCCGCCGGTCCTCCACAGACAGCCCTGCACTCTGGAGTCTCAGGCTTATTTGCAGAAGTTTCTGGAGCGCAGAGCCCTGCCTGCGCCAGGGAGGGAGCCACACCTAAGCCGGCACGACCCTGCCCCCTTCATCCCCGCAGGGAGCTCCCTGTGAACCAGACCCTGGTCTGGGTCCTTCCCTTCCTTCAGCAGGGGCAGACTGGGGGGGGCGGGGCATGAGGACAGGGCCCCGGGCTCACCACCACTCTGCCTGGCTGTCTGTCCAGCACCCACTCCTGCCCAGAACTCAGGACGTGCCCTGCTCTGGAAACAGGCCCGCTGCAGACGTGGCCAGCGTCAGGGGAGGGTATCCCAGGCCCTAAGCCTGGGTGTCCCCGTGAGGACAGGGAAACGAGGATGAGGCCAGACCTGGAGAAGCCCTCCTGGAGACGGGCCATGGACGGCTAGCTTGTGCGGCCCAGCACCAGGGACTGCAGAGAGGCGGGAAGGAGCGAACCTTGACCTCTGGCCTTCAGGACTGTTGGGTCAGCCTTCTGCTAGCCACCATGACGCCCTGGAGCACCTCCCTGGAGCACCTCCCTGGAGCACCTCTCAGGAGCACCTCCCTGGAGCACCTTTCAGGAGCACCTCCCCAGGAGCACCTCACAGGAGCACCTCCCTGGAGCACCTCCCTGGAGGACCTCCCCAGGAGCACCTCTCAGGAGCACCTCCCTGGAGCACCTCCCCTGGAGCACCTCCCTGGAGCATCTCCCTGGAGCACCTATCAGGAGCACCTCCCTGGAGCACCTCCCCTGGAGCACCTCTCAGGAGCACCTCTCAGGAGCACCTCCCTGGAGCACCTCCCTGGAGCACCTCCCCAGGAGCACCTCCCTGGAGCACCTCCCTGGAGCACCTCTCAGGAGCACCTCCCTGGAGCACCTCCACTCCCTCCCCACTGGCTGCCAGCAAGTGGGTGGACGCAGGGCAGGAAGATGCCTGCGAGGCCCAGGGTGGGGGGCGGTCTCAGGCACAGCCAGGTTTTCCAGGGCTGACTCACCGTCTGGGAATGGCCCCCCGGCCTCCAGACCCGGGAAGCCTCCCCGCCAGGAGGACACTCGTCCCCGGGCGGGGGGGTTCCCCACACCTCTTGCCGGGTCCTCAGCACTGCCTGTGAGAGTGAGACAGCCTCCTCTCGTGACAGGCGAGAGCCCAGGGCTCCGAGAGGGCGAGACGGGCCGCCAGAGTCACGGAGCTGGGAGGCCGCCGCCCAGCCTGTCTTGTTCCAAACCACACGCTCCCTTCCTCACAGACTCCTGAAGAGTGATGGGCAGACAGAAGGCAGGCTAGCCCTGGAAGTAGCAGGAATTCTGGGCCGTCCCTGGGGGCCCCTTGGGCATTTGGTGTCTCCTCAGCACAGCCTGACGCAGGAGGGCCTCGGGGCGGGGGTGGGGGTTGAGCAGGGAGAAACTGGCCGTCAGTCACTTCTGCCAGCTCAGGGCCGTGGCTGCGGGGGCATCCGGAGGGTGGACGTCCCCAGGAGTGTGGGCCCCGTGGCCCTAGCAAGTCTCCAGAGAAGGCCAGTGGGCACCAGCGGGGCACAGGCCAGGCCCAGTGACCTGCAGGAGGGGGCCCCCACCACCAGCCAGCTCAGGAGGTGAGGTTCTGGGTCAGGGCCTGGTGGGGGTGATGCAGAGTCAGCATCCCATCCCCTCCCTTCCCGTCATGAGCGATGGGGCCTGGACAAGCTACTACACTCTTCACAGAGCATCGGGTTTGCATTTGCAAACTAGGGATACTCACATCCCTTTGGGATGTCACCGAGCTTAGATACTAGAGTATGTGGACAGCAGTCACGTGCAGGCCCAGCCTGAGCCGGTGCGCAGACAGCGGGCGGGTGGGCATCCCATCCTCACGGCCGCGTGATACACTGCAGCGCTCGGGGTGCTGCTCGCAGAGCACTGAGCATTCCTCGGGGACCCCGGTCTCTCTGAGTGCACGTCCAAGCAAGCGGCACAGTCACGCCAGGAAGGAATGCTTACGTAGGACAGATGACAGGATCGGAGGCAGATAAGGAGGTTGGGAAGTGGTCAGCGGAGAGAAATACAAACAGTCACGTGGGCCTGGGCAACAGAAAACCTGGGAGGCTTTGATGGCCGTAGTGAACCAGGAGAACGTCAAGATCCTGGAGGTGTGAGGCCTCCCTGGGCCTCTAGAGGGCGGACGTGGGACACACGGCCCAGGAGGTGCAGAAGCAGAGACAGCCCAGTAGGTAAGTAAGTGTCCCTGCTGAACCGAGAGGAGGGGAGCCTGGGAGGCTGGGAGGACAGGGGGAGGACGGGGGAGGGTAGAGTTCACAGAACCCCTCCTGCAGTGTGGGCACTGCTGGAGCACGTTTCAGAGGCTGGCCAGGAGGCTGGAAATTCACGGGGCAGCAGATGCTGAGGCCTTGAGGCAGAATCTCTTCTCCAGGAAACCTCAGCGGTTTCTACTCTAAAGACCTTCAACTGAGTGGACGAGTCTCCCCCACATTACCGAGGGAGCTCCTCTTTGCCCAGGCTCACCATTGTCAATCTCATCTACAAAACACCTTTAGCACAACACTTGGACTCATGTTTGATCAAACCACCAGGGTCGATAGCCCAGCCTGATGGACACATGTGAGCCACAGCTGGTGCTGAACCGGACGGAGAGGCGGAGGACGAGTGCTGCAGCAGATGCCTGCTCCCGGGGTGGTTGGAAAGCGGCCTTTACCCGCTGAAACCGAAGGGGCCCGGAGACTTTTGTCTTGGGGAGGGGTGGCAGGGTCAAAGCAGCAGCACATTCTCTGCCCACTGCAGGGAAGGGGCCGGCAGGCCCAGGCGGGGTCCTAGTGGGGGTCCAGGGTGAGGGGCCGGGCCGGGACTGCTGGTGGTTATGGTGGGGAGGACGGAAGAGCAGAAACTGACAGAGACACAAGGAACAACTGGAATCGACAGGGATTTTCAACTCACATGGGTGGGTGAGGACCTCAGGGGCGACTGCTGGGCTGGAGGGTCCGGTGAAACACTTTAGAGGATCTCAGAGATTCAGAAGAAAACAGGGACAGTGAGGTTTGGGGTTTCTGACCTAAGTTTGAAATTCATGCGGGGCAATTAGACAGCGTTTGGGAAGGAGTGTGAAGCCCCAGGGGACTCGTGACTGTGAGAACGCAGGCCGCCTGGCTGACGTGTCTGGGCCCCTGGAGACTGGAAAGGCCGCTCCCAGTGGTTCTAGAAGCACCAGCTTCCGGGGGGCCGGGGCCAGCCCCCAGCTCAGCTCCCCCACAGCCAGGCCCTGGGGACCACGGAGGGGCGGCAGTCTGCTGACACAGGCAAGCGCCCGCTGCCCCAGCCCCAGCAGCCTGGGGAGGCCACTTCTCTGCCGGCGGTCAGACCGGCCACGAGACAGTGGGGGTCGGAACAGACCCAGGCTCCTCTCCAACGCTGGAACGTGGGGACCGTGCAGCTTTGAACTGGACCTCCTCAGCTGTGACTGGACCCTCAGGAGTCAGGTGTTAGAAAAGAGCGGGCCGGCCCAGGGCACCCACCGTGTCTTCTGGGGGCTCCAGCAGGGCCCCCTGGGGAAGCCCAGTGGGTTCTTCCACCCGTGGCCACAAGGGAGGAAAGGAAAGCACACGAGCGTCCACCTGGGCCAGCCCTGCACACAGACCTCTAGCCAAACGTCCAGGCTTCTCACCGTGCCCTGGGGTCCGCAGAGCGCAGGGCAGGGCTGGGGCTGGCGCAGGGGGTGACAGGCGAGGAGGTGCGGGCGCTTAACAGGCCTCGTGGGCCCGGGCAGGGAGCCCGACCCCTGGCTCTGATCCTGCAGCGACTTGTCTGGGGGCAGGTCTCCCAGAGACGGCCAGACAGAAACAGAGAGACGGAGAGAGACGAGGTGGAGGCAGGGGGCGAGAGAAAGGCAGAGAGGGGAGAGAGAGAGAAAGAGCTTGGAATCCTGCCTGGAACTTGCGAAGTCTTCTAAGAGTGTTTTCTGAAACAACAAAAGCTCCTATTGCACACGTGTGGCAACGGCCGCTAGGCGAGGCCCCAGACCGTGAGCGCGGACCTGGGACTGGACCCCGGGGGCCCAACCTGTCCTCCGCAGCTGGGACGGCCCCGCCGCCGCGCTCCGGGCCGGAGGTCCTCGCCCCGCCCCGGCCCTCGGGGAGGTGGGGGCGGGAAGGTCGCCCCGCGCGCCGTGGGTCATGGCCGTGCGCGCCGCGCGCCCCTGCCTGCTGGCGCTCGTGCTGTGCTGGTGCTGGGGGGCGCTGGCCGAGGTCGCCCCCAGGCCGACCAACGGGTGTCCGAGCCGCTGCCTGTGCTTCCGCACCACGGTGCGCTGCATGCATCTGCTGCTGGAGGCCGTGCCCGCCGTGGCGCCGCAGACCTCCATCCTGTGAGTGCGGCGGGGTGCGGGGCGCCGGGGGCAGGGCCCCGGGAACCTGGGCGCGCCAGGCAGCCGGGGACCGGGTCGTGCGGCGGGGCGCGGGGCGCCGGGGGCAGGGCTCCGGGAATCTGGGCGCGCCGGGCGGCCGGGGATCGTGCGGCGGGGCCTTTGTCCTCCGTGGCCGGACGGGGGGCGGACCTGAGCGCAGCGCGCGCCGCCTCCGGAGCCGCCTTTGTTTGGAACTCGGAGTCCCCGCGGGCCGGGGGAGTTGTCGGGGCCGCCGGGGAAAGCCCCCCGCTCCGCCGGCCCTGCTGCTCGCCCGCTCCTCCACCGCCCCGCTCAGGCCCCGGCCTCCCAGAGCCCGGCGCCCCCCTCTCCCGCGTTCCTTTCCCCTCCCCCTCTCCTCCGACTCGGCGCTTCCTCCTCCTGCCCGGGGCGCTGTACCCCCGTCCGGGGTCCGGGGGGCCCTCCTGGCGCCCCCTCTCTGACCCGCGTCCGGCGGGGCGCGGAGAGCCTCCCGCCCGGCCCCGGGTGGACGCACGGCTCTCTCGGGCTCCCCTGCGCCGCGTTCCGGGAGGGGCCGCGCTCCGAGTGCGGGAAGGCGCGGGCGGAGCCGGGTTCCTAGCGGGTGTGCGCTCGGGGCCCGTCCCCGCCCTCGTCTCCAGCTGCTGCGCCGCTGCCGGGCCATGGGGACCCGGCGCTCCAGTTGGCACCGCGCACCGCGCGCCCACCCCCGCGCTCCCCTGGGGATCCCGCCAGCTATGCAGCTGAGTCGCCGGAGGCCTGTTCGGATGCACCCCTGATTAGAAAGTTTCAAACTCGGAAAAGGCAGTCCGCGATCCAGGCGCCGACTGCGCTCGGCGGCCCACAGCCGCCCTTCTGGATGCCAAAAATAGTTTCCACTCTTCTCTGAGCCCGAGTGCTTCTGGCACTGCCGCAGCGCCTGCAAAAGTTGTAAAGTTTGGGGTGAACTATTCAGGAAGTGGGCGGTCAATGTTCTTTTAAAACCAAGTAGGCGGACTCTCCTAATGGTCGCCCGCCTGCCGGCCCTTCCTCGGGGTCCGCGGTAGGACTCACCCCCGGCCTGGAAGCCCTTTCCCCGGCTGCTCCCCCGGCCGCCCTCCGAGGACCGGGCCGGCGCACAGCAGGCGTCGCCACAGGCCGACTGAGGGGTTTCTGGAGGCTGTGATTTAACTCTTCGGTGAGTCAGTGGGGAAAACGCGGACCCTGAAGCCGTTTTTCACGTGTCGCCAGAATCAAATGCATGTACTGTGCTTTGCCCTCACGTCTTAATTGCTTTTTAAAAAGGACAGTATTTTAAAATATGACTCTGGTAGAGCCAAAATGGTCTCACCAGCCTCCTGCAGGCGGTGAGATTCTCCACAGAACCTCCCGGAGTTTCATAAAACAGCTGAGGGTGGGCAGGATGGGGAACATAATGGGTGACCCTGGCGAGAATTCCAGAAATGCTGCTTTTCCATATGCTCTCAGAGATGCCGGGAAACGACCTCACGTGGTCCCGTGGGTTCTGTGAGGAGGCGGGGTTGCCGAGTTGACCAGGTCCTTGAGAACCACGAAGGTTGTCACTGGTGTGAAAGTGACGCCACTCAGTCATGTCCCACTCTCTGCCACCCCACGGACCGTAGCCCCCCAGGCTCTTCCGTCCATGCAGTTTTCCAGGCAAGAGTACTGGAGTGGGTTGTCAGTTTTTTCCATCTTCCTGACACAGGGATTGAACCCTGGTCTCCTGCATTACAGGCAGATGCTTTACTGTCTGAGCCACCAGGAAATCCTAAATTGGGCTTCCCTTGCGGCTCAGCTGGTAAAGAATTTATCCACAATGTGGGAGACCCAGGTTTTATCTCTGGGTCGGGAAGACACTCTGGAGAAGGGAAAGGCTGCCCACTCCAGTATTCTTGGGCTTCCCTTGTAGCTCAGCTGGTAAAGAATCCGCCTGCAGTGTGGGAGACCTGGGTTTTATCTCTGGGTCGGGAAGATCCCCTGGAGAAGGGAAAGGCTGCCCACTCCAGTATTTGGCCTGGGGAACTGTGGTGTGAACACACACCTGTCTTACAGCTGTGTAGACGCAGGCACCTGGGGCGGAGGCCCCCATCGGCGCCAGTGTGGACCCAGGACGGGCAGAACTGAGTCCTCCGTGAGGGGCTCTGCTGGGCGTCCGGGACTGGGGGTCCAGAGGGAGACAGTGGTGGTGGGTGGGGCCTCATGGAGGAGCCGGTCCGGCGGGAAGGCCCGCTGGGGAGGGGTGTTGCTCTGGGCTCTGGGGTCCGGTCTGGAGACTTCTTGGGGGCTGCTCGTCGGGACGTGGTCCCCGGCTCTGCCAGTGCCGAGCCAGTCCGTGTTCACTCGAGCTCCTCTCCCAGAGCTCTGCGCTCCTGCAGCTGCTGTTATTCTGCATCCAAAGTGTGACCTGGGAGCAATCAGGGACCGGAAGAATGTGAGGGTAAGGGGACACTTTGCCCCGGAGTCCATTGGCCGGTCCAGGCATCGCTTATCCCTTTGCTTTCAGGACTCTCCCCTCCCCCCCTCCCCTCGGCCCCCCAGAAAGACTGAATGGGAATCACCAGGAGCATCAGACTTGTCCCTCACCGTGGTGTCTCAGGGGTGTGCTCATGTGGGGCCCGAGAGAGGATCGTCCTGCTTTGTGGTTGGGGCTTGGAAATCCTGGTCTGAGAGCAGGCCCTGGTCCAAAGCATGTGATTCTAGTTTGACCCGGAACCGTAGAAACGGGGTCCTGGCCACTCTGCCGGCTGGGGTCCCTGCGATCTGGCGCTGCAGTGTTTCAGAGCCCTTCAGCATGGGGTGTCGTATGCTCAGCTCAACTGTTGTAGAGTTAAGTGTTTAACTTGAGTATTTCACTCTGCTCGGCACGGCAGTAGAAGTTCATCATGGTGAGGATTAAACAGCTGGTGATAAAACGCGTGGGGGCATCCTTACTCTGCCCGCTTTATCCTCCCCTTGGCCTGGGCCTTTGGGGATGTCTCCTTCTATACTTGCTGCCTCACAAGTCACCCTCTGCCCCTCACCCCCATTCTGATCTTTCCTTGTCGCCTCGTCTGTGAGGTCGTGGGAATCACCCCCATCCCTCAGTCCAGGCCGCTCTAAAGCCACCATCCACGTGACAGGAAGCCCTGGTGTTGGAGGGGGCCTGGGGGACGTGGGCTGGGCGGCCCAGGGGAGTGCGGCCTGACCCACAGCAGGCAGGGGGCTGGTGAGAGTGCTTCCCTGGGGTCAGGCCGCTGGCCAAACAGCTTCTGATGGCCTCTGTGTCTGGGCCCGAGCCGCGTTCCAGCCCCCACCTCGTGGGATCCTTGGTCCATGGGGGCACCAGGGAGGGAGGCCCCGTGGGCCTGTGATGAGGGTGACCGCTCAGGTGTGCCTGGCCAGGGGGACGGCAGGGGGCCGGCCCTGGATGCCGTCACCTCTGCTGGCCTGAGCCGGGGGCAGCCACGGTCTGCGCCTTCTCCACACTCGGAGAAGGTCCTGGTGTGGCCCCCGGCGTGGACGGGGCCCCTGCCTTCCTGTTGGTCCTGCACTGGACCTGGCTGATGGGAGAACCCAGCTTCTCACGAGCTCCCCTGTGCAGGGCGCTGAGGTCTCTGCCAACAGGTGGCGGGCGGGAGGGAGGAAGGGGTGGTCCCGTGGGGGTCCCGTCAGGTCAGGAGGGGCTGGGGGCCTCCAGCAGGAAACTGCTCGCCTGCCCTGTCTCCTGGTTTCCTGTCTTCCTGGGGCTCGGGGAGTTCCCTCTCTGTCGGCTGACCTGGGGATGCACTTGGCCCCGGGCTGGGCTAGCCTCTCCTCCCTGGGCGGTGGGTGATGGGCCCGGTCAGCAGATGTGAGCAGCTGTGACTGGGGCCGCGGTTCCTGCAGGGCACCCGTGCCAGCCGGAACCTTGATTGTAGCCGGAGGCTCACCTGAAATGGATTTCTGCTTTAGACGGCCTGCTGGGATGAAGTCAAAAGCTTTTATTAATGCAGTTCAAATGTGTTTCAAAAGCACCGTAGGAACATGTTTTAAGTACGGGCATGCTGGTGGTTTATTTTTCCAAAATGGTGGCGGACCAAGTACCTCCTCCCACCACTAACAGCCCTGCGGTGTCCGGAACCCTCAGTTCCGCGGACATCCAGCCCGCTGTGGGCAGACAGCAGACCTCGGGCACCGAGGAAGCTTCCAGGGGGCCAGAGACACCACCGGTTGGGAGCAGGACCTGGGTCCTTGCTAAGTTGGGACGCAGCTTGACTTTGGCAGATGCATCTTGGGAAGCTGCAGCAGGCTGGCTGCAGGAAGACCCCTCTTCGCGCCATTAATGAGTCAGGAAATAGTTGTAAAAAGGCAGCACTGCACAGGCTGCTGACCCTGCGCAGAGGCAGCTCTGGCCTCGTCCAGGTTCAAGACGCCAGGACTCACGGCTCCTTCCGGCCCCTGCGCTCCTGGGCCCCCCACTCCGTCCCGTGACGCGGCCTCTCTTCCTGGCGACACCCTGGCCTCCTCCCCGATGGCCTCAGTGCAGGGGACGAACCTTGCTCACAAGCAGGGGCCTGGGGACTGTGCCAGCACATGCGTGTGTGCCCCTGGACCCCCGTGGTGGCAGGCGGGGCCCAGGAAGGCTCTGCTCTGCCCGGCAACACCAGGGCTGGGGGAGGGGGGCTCCCTGCCTGGGGAACGCGGGCCTCTTGTTCAAGAGACGGCCGGCCGCACAGAGCCTCTGCCCACACATTCCAGGTGACAAGTTCAAGTGTCAGCAGAACACACACAGGATCCCCGTCTCCGGAGCTGCTTCTCATCAAGTTGAGAAACCGGGTGAAAGTTGGAAGGCCCTCGCCCATGTGCTAATTCCCACTGGCCAGAGGGGCTCTTCCGGGCACTGCTCACAGGAAGACACTGTGGTGGACGCCGTGGTGAAGGCCCGGGGGCAGAGCTAGCAGGTCGCCCCCAGCTCGAATCGGGCCTGGTCCTCCCCCCTCCCTCCCCGTGTGCTCCTGGGGAGGCGC